AGGACAAACTGAGAAGCTGCTAGAATTAATGGAAGGCTAAAAGCTGAGATCTTTCTCCAGCTGGCATGTTTGATATCCAGGAATTTGATTGTTTATAGGACATAGGGATGTTAGTGATTCAAAAAGGAGGTATGGTTTTAAGGGATTGAAAAAGGAGTCAGGTAGCTCATCACCTGCTTGCTTCACAGAACAGAGTTACTTTAACTAACTTATAAATTTGGAATAATTATGAAAAAGCTAGGAGGAAGATAGGAGTGGAGGATATGCAGAGCAGAAGGTAGATTTGAAGGACAACATGATTTAAATCATTCCCAAAAAAGATCTGAAGAAAATTTAAAAAAAAAGTAAGGAAAATACCAAAAGAACATATTGCCTTATTTCTTTTCTATTTTCCAAGGGAAAAATGTCTTTTTTTTGTCCCCTCATGTAATATTAGGATTCGTTAGACTATAGCCCTATAAGGAGAGGAATTGGCCTTTGATGGGTTGAAAAATAAAAACACTTATCCTAACCTTATAATTCTCTTTTTTTCTTCAGGCTGGTGTTTATTCTGCTGAAAGCTGCTGATTTAAATTGGGCTATGGCTAGCACTGATTTTATTTCCTTTATCACTGTATCTCATTTTCCCTTTTTCTTAGTGTGAAGAAAGCATTAATTTGCTGCCCAACTGACTACTCCAACAGGTGAATTCACAGTTTTTCATTTAACTTTCAAATTCTCTTTTATTCCCCCTTCTGCTCCACAAGGGTTATAAAAGGGTTCTGAGAATTGACAATACATGAAACCTTTGGGGCTGTTTGGGGCAAAGGAAGAACTTTAAAGATAGACAACGGGAAATGATTTACTTCTTCCCCCCTTTACATTCACTTCACTTCTTTGTTTTCCAAGTCGGCTGTGTACCTTACTTTACCCTACTTCTGTAATGAAGTTTTAGTCATAGCTAAGGTTAACTCCTGAGGCAGAAACTAAAGTATATAATAGAAACTGGTTGTCATCTACTCCTGACTCCAGGTTATCTTCATCATTTCATACAGATGAACCTTCTAATCTAAAAGATCTCCAAAGAAAGATTTTTTTGATACACTCCCTTACTTAACTATTCCAGTATGAAAAGTCTTCCTGTTAGAAGTTCTTATTTATACCTAATAACTCTTACATATAATAACTTATAACTCCTTAACCGATCAAGAGAGGCCAAGATAGATGGTTGTCACAGATAGATACATGGTTGGTGGTGAGATGAGAGTATAACAAAGAGGCATTAATCAGGAAATTATTCCAGAATTTTGATATTAAATATATTCCTTTCCCTGACACAGAAAATTCTTCAGGGGTCCCTTAACTTGCTAAGGCCATATTACCTGAAAAAGGACTCAAAATGGTATAATTTCAAAAAGTTTTTTGGATACTAATCTAAAAATCTTGTGATTTATTCCATTTTGTGAGCCCGGGCAAGTCATTTATATCCAGCTGCCCTCCATGCCTGGAATGCATTGCCCTCTTACCTCTGCCTTTTAATTTTCCTGACCTTATTCAAGGCTCAGCTCAAAATTCACCATCTGCAAGAAGCCTTTTCTAGTGATCTCAGGTATTAGTGCCTTCCCCATTCAGGTTTATAGATTCTATGTACCTATTTTTTTTAACATTTTTTCTCCCTTATTAGAATGTGAGCTCCTAGAGGTTAAGGCTATTTCTGCCTTTTTGTGTGTCCTCAGTGCTTAGCACAATGCCTGGCACAGACTAAATAGTTAATAAACGTTTACTTAGTATAACCCAAAATGGAGGCAAATACTATTTTTTGGTGCTGCTACCTCTCTTCTTCATTTGTACATACTTTATAGGAAAGAATGTGTGATAAACAGGATTCAGAATTTCATGTCTTATTCTCCTTGAGTTGGGTAAACGACCAGCTTTTTAAGTAAACATAGGTTATCCATTTTCCTTTCTAGACACACTAACCATTAGTGTTTACTAAAAATACCCTGAAATTGAGATAGTATCCATCTCAAGATCAATGATCCAGATTCTCTTTCAATCATCTCAAGAAGACTTTGATGACCCCTGAAGAATTGTGTGTCAGGGAAAGGAATATATTTAATATCCAATTCTGGAATAATTTCCTGATTAGTGCCTGTTTCTTATACTTGCTTCTCACCACCAACCATATATCTATTTGTGACAACCATCTGTCTTGCCCTCTCTTGACTGGTTAAGGAGATGCTACACTGTTAATCAATTTCAAGGCTTTAAAACAAATAGTCATAAATATTTATGCCTTGGCCAATGTTCTTAATGAAAATTCTATATGAGGTAATTATTTTGCTTCTGCCTGCCAGATCTACTTATGAAGAAGATGAAATTATTTTAATCTTTGTGCAGATTTTAAAACCATGATTGTGGATGTTGTGAGCTTCACTAGACTATAAAATGATACAAGCTTTAAGGAGGATCTATAGTATTCTTTTCCATTTTCAAAGAATTAAATGTTAGCTTTCCTTTAAAAATCATCTGCCATGCTTCTGGTTTGTTTTTACATAAAGCAACTCTAGGCAAATATAGCAACATCTCAATTATTTAGAAGTCTTATACACAGCGGTGCCAACTATCTGGAACATAACAGGAAAGAAAAAAGGCCTCTGAGCACCCAAAATATTTGCCAAGTCCATGTACTGAAGCTTACCCAAGCCTCCAGATATTCCTTTAGATTTACTATATTCTTAATTTAAACCAAACTCTTACATTTGGTTATTTGGTTTCCCAGGCCACAGCAGATTAGAAACCTCAAATCAGAAGGAGAATGGGAATTGATTGAGGAAGTTACTCTGGGAGCCTGACAATGAGAAAGGTGTCAAAAAACCCTACAAAAAGTAGATGTGTGCACAGCAGTTTAGGGTCACTTAGTGGAAGGATAAATAAGCTCTGATAGAACACCTAAGTATAAAACTCTATTAGAGCACATAGCTGATATTTATTATATTCATTTTAAGAAAGCAAGAAAGCATGTAATGTATTTTATAAAAATTTCTCAAGAATGGCTAAAAACAAAGATTTGGAATTTAAAGAGGTAGGCTTTTAGCTATGTGGACAATTCACTTGAGTAGAACACCCTATTCCATCATTATGCCAAATAAATGAGTTATTGTATTTGGAAAGTTAATATTTCAAGTAGTCCAGACTCAATCTTAATGAAGATGAAGCCCAGAGGCATCTTTGTTCCTAAAAATGCTGCCATTCTCTGCTGACAGTTATTTGTTTGTTTGTATTCAAGCAGCATCTGGTAGATGTTAAATGAAGATTACTTAGCTTATAATCACATTCTGCTTAACACCTGTCAACTATTGGATGGCTTCAAAACAAATATTGCTATAAGAGCTTATAACAGTACTCCCTAGGTTTCAGATATGAAAAGCTTGATTGTTCAAACTGGTAGCATATGAAGCAACTCTTCCTTGAGAAGAAACAACCATTCAAGTTCTAAGTTAGAGTTCCTTTCTGATCTGGATGAAGGCCATGATAGCAGTCTTCCAGGACTTAAAAAAGATGTTATATGGAAGGATCAGACCTGTTTTATTTGGTTCCAAAGGGCAGGATGAGAAGCAATAGATGGAAACTGCAAAAAAGTGAAATTTAGGCTTGAGGTCAGGAAAAAAAAAACTTTCTTACAATGAAGAGAACCCAAAATGGAATAGACTAGCCTCATAAGGTGATGGATTCCCTCTTAGAAGAGGTCTTCAGGTGAAAGCTGAATAACCCACTTGTCTGGTACAATGAAGTAGAGATGGTTGCATAATCCTGAACTGGCAGGATTATATCTGGATAGGAAGTTGTTTACAAAGGCAAGACAGGATTCTAATTCAAACTGTGCCTCTCCTGAGAGTGGCTTTAGAATGTTATCTGAAGGGTACGTTGAGACTTCAGTAAAGCATGTATTTCTAACAAGTGATTAAGATCACAAAATTCATGTCCAGAGAGAGAACTGATGAACTCTGAGTGTAAATTGAAGCATATGTCATTTTCATTTTCTTTATTTTTTGCTTCTCCCACCTGTCTAATACAGAAATATGCTTTGTATGATTTCACATGTATACTGGGTATCATATTGTTTGTCTTCTTAGGGAAGGGACATGAGGGAGGGAGAGAATTTGGCAATCAAAATGAATGTTAAGGATTAGAAGCACAAGCCTGGCATTATGTAGGTCACTCAAAGTGACCAGGAATTATTTTACAATCCTACTCCTGTGATACCAGAAAGAATTTCTTCTTTCTGAATGTTCATAGCATCATGGGTCATGCCATATTCTAAGTTCTTTGGGCATGCATCTTTTCTTCCCAATTAGATTGTAAACACGTTGAGGGCAGAAATCATGTCTTATTTCTCTTTATGTCTCCACCAGAGTCTAGTAAATAACTTTGCAAATACTAGGTTTAAAGGATGTTGAACAAATGGAGTCACTTCAATTCAACAAACATTTATTAAGAATACTATTATGTACCAGGCACTGTGCCAAGTGGTAGAGATACATAGACAAAAATGAAATAGTCTCTGCTCTCCAGTGGTTTAAGTTCTATTGATGGGAAAAAATCCATATGGAGATGAATAAATAAAAATCATTGTGGGCAGCATTCTTTTTTTTTTGGCGGGGGGGGGGAGTTGCAGTCAAGGTTAAGTGACTTGCCCAGAGTTACACAGCTAGTAAGTATCAAGTGTCTGACAATGGATTTGAACTCAGGTCTTCCTGATTCCAGGGCCAGTGCTCTATCCACTGCACCACCTAGGTGCTCTACTGGTAATAAATAGAGGTGAAGCATCACACAGCAGATGGAACTTGAGAAAGGTCTCAAAGGGAAGATTTCAAGAGACTTGGATGAAGATAAATGTGTGAAGTGTTGGTTGATGAATGGATGTCAAAGATGGAAAATAAAATGTTCAAATTTTGAAAATCTTAAATGTGCACATGCTTCTTGTGCCTGAGAATTGGACTGAAGCTTCAAATCTTTACCTCTGGGGCAATGTAATCCGGAGTTCCACAGAACGTCCTGGTTGTGACTCCATCTACCATATGCTCCTTGCACATTCCAAAATCAGCAATCTTGATATGTCCTTCTGAATCCAACATAACATTGTCCAATTTCAAATCTCTGAAAGGAAGTAGGTTAACATCAGTGCTTGATTCCAGAATAAAAACTTAGATTTCCTTTGGATCTGTTCCATTGTAACTCCATTTGGATACCATTGAAATGGCCCAGTGAGTAGGTACTCCCCCACAATAAGAGGTTGTGCCCCCCACCATTTTACAAAGGAACATAGGGGACCTACATCCTCTCAGAGAACTCAAGATGACAATAAATAATCTTAAAGTTATTATTGGAAAAAATCACCTTGTGGTTGTGGAATCTTCTTGTAATTAATTAATACAAAGAATCAGAATCAACAGCATTCATCCACAGACCTCCATATAACCCAATATTCTGCTATTAAAAGTTAGGAAGAAGAATCGGACCTGTGGTTTCACTGGTAGAGGGAAAATCCCCTTACTAATGTAGGCCAGCACCTCCTCTACAACTTAAAAGTCTTAGAGAATTGCCCAGAGCATTGAGAAGTTAAGTAACATGCCAAGGGTCAGAGAGTCAGTATGTCAGAGGCAGGACCCAAATCCAAGTCTTCTTGGCTTCAAGACTGTTTATTCTCTACATCTGAGGTGTCAACCATGTGGTCTATGGGCCACATGTAGCCCACAAAACTCCCAAGTGTGGTCCAAACCAGATCAAAATGTAATTGGGAAATTTGTTGTTGTTCAGTCATTTCAGTCACTTTAGTTGTGTCTGACTCTTTGAAACCCCAGTTGGGGTTTTCTTGGCAAAGACACTGGAGTGGTTTGCCATTTCCTTCTCCAGCTCATTTTACAGATGAGGAAACTGAGGCAAACAAGGTTAAATGACTTGTCCAGGGTCATACATTTAGGAAGTGTCTGAAGCCAGATTTGAATTCAGGAAGAAGAGTCTTTCTCACTCCAGGCCTGACATGCTATCCACCGTGCCACCTAGCTGTCCCAATTGGGAAATACTTAACAATAAATAAAAACACAATAAAACACAAATAATATTACACTTTAAAAATAAGTCAAAAGATAGGGATCCTTATGTATAAATTAGTGGCCCCACTTTCTAATTGAGTTTGCCACTACAGCTCCCTATCATATTGCCATTCTACACAAACACATACAATTGAAAACACAGTTTTTGTGGTTTTCAGTGTTTGCTGTGACCTCATTTCCAAGAAAAAGAGCAGAGAAAGGCATTGTTGGTGGGCATAAACATGTTTTCTTACGAAAGTAAAAAATGAAATAGGAAGTCTCTGAAGTTGAGAAATGGAACCAAAGATGGCTCTTTCTCGAAAGGCAGCTCAGACAGGATTCCTATTAACAAGAGCTACAGATAAGTAGCAAGTTACCATTTACGAGGTGCACGCTGAGGAAGAAAGTGCAGTTCTTTTTGTCTCCATTTTCCAGATAAGGAAGCTGAGACTCTGAGAGGTGCAATGTTTACCCTGAGATCGCAAGGCAAGAAGGTTTCAGGACAAGGACTAGAACTCTGCCCTCTGTGCCCTACTTTCTGTCTTTTATCTACTTTGTGTTTCATCATGTAAGTTACAAAATCATCCATCTTCTAATATCTAGTGTGGCTACCAAATAAACAGCTGAGAAAAAGAGCTCTAGTCCTCACCTATAAATGATCCCTTGTTTATGAAGGAAGAATAATCCAATTGAAATCTCTGCTGCATAGAACCTGGAAAAGAAATATTACTTGAGATCCATGGCAGTCTAGTTGCTACTCCATCCTTCCTTCCCCCCACCCCAGATATTTCACACTCAAAACATCAAAGAATGTAAAAGTGATTTTGACACCTGGTATTGACTAGAACAAGCCATGCACAGTCCACTTTCTGTTATTTATTATACAAATTCATCGTGCAAACTTTCCCCCCTCAATTTATATACCCCACAGGAAATTAATGGACAAGTAGGACATCTCCATTTTAATTGCACTTTAAAGTTTACAAAGTGCTTTCCTCATAATGATTCTATGAGGCAGGGGATGCAGGTATAATTTACATTTTATAGATGAGGAACCTGAAGCTCAGAGAGGTGAAAGAACTTGCCAAGGATCACACCAGTGTCCAAGCTAGGACTCAAACCTGAGTGTTCTAACCCTTTCTACTACAGTGCCTCTCATTCAGAAAGTCTGTTATAAAACAGAATGTTGGTGCTGAAAGCGAGTTTAAGAGATCTCGTCCAAATGCTTCACTTTGCAGATGAGGAAACAGACTCAGAAAAGTTAAGTGACTTGGCCAAGGTAAAAACAAAAACAAAAACAAAAATAAAAACAATAACAAAAACTTCTATGTGAGAGAGCCATGATTTGAATCCAGGTCATCTGCCTCCAGATCCAGCACTTAAAAACTGAAATTTGATGCCTTTTCAGTATCAATGGATACTTGCCCATTTCAGGAAATTGATGTTACTTTTTATAAGAAGGCTCCACATAGATTCTTCAAAAGCCTTCAAAAGAACGTTTTTTGATGCAAATTGGATAACAATTATACTTACACATCTATATGATATTAAGGGGAGGAAATTCCCATTTTACATCCAGTGGTATTTTAGGGAAAACACAGTGGTGAATTGGATTGCAATCAATTCCTTTCCCAAAAGTAGAGTGTAGTATACAATGAAATAAATTGTTGGTTGTGATGCCTCCTGGAAGGCTGGGCTAAGATGGGCCACGCATGAGTTCACATGGAACTACAGTCCCATTTAGAATCATGTGTAGCTCTAAAATAATTGTTGCTTCCAAATTAGTAAATTTAGTGAAGCACAGGTGAAATGATGGAAGATGGGTTAAAATCTGCTAGGTATTCCAGAGTCTTTCCAGACAGAATCTAAATCAATTTTGGATAGTTGTGAATAGTCAAAATACTACAAAAAAGAATCTCTAAAATAAATGCTTTTCATTAGTTTGAATTTAATAAAAAGGAAAAGATCCCAGAAGCTTTTAAGTATTATTTCAGAACTGTCCTCGGCAATTCTGAAATGTTTTCTCTGGTGGATCGAGTTGCCATGGCATTAGCTTTTCATCTCCATATGTGTTAAAGTTTTATAAGTCACACACATATACAGGTAGAATGAGAACAGATATGTCTTTCCTTTTAAGGATAAAAATCAAAAGTGAGCAAAATTTCCATAACATGTCTGAAATGCATTGCCTGCACAACCTTATTTTGTGTCTTCCACTAGTCATCTGGTTCTGTAATTTCAAAGGATTACAGGATTGTAGATTTAAAGCCAGAAGGATCATGTAGAATCATGCATTTATAACTTGAAGGGACCTTAGAGGACATCTAGCTTAACTCCTTATTTTACAGACGAGGAAACTGAGAGATTCATCAAGGTTATAGGAGTTGACCTAGATCAGACTGGTAGCATGTATCTGTGATCCCATCAATGAGGACACTCCCTCTACCAATACAGATCACAACATAGTTCATAGCAGGATTTATTTGAGAGTTTGTTAGGATGTCTGTTATATCAAAAAAAAAAGAATCAATGGTTTTTTTTTTTAATGTAGTATACTTTCTGGTAATGGCAACTTGCCATATAGTCAATGTTTTTTGTTTTTTTTTTAAATGGTGAACTGACCAGATCTTAAATATTATTCTTAAATTACGCAGAATCTGAGTTCTCAGTTTGCTAGTTTGATTTATTAAATCTAAATATTAAGTACCTTAGTGCTGATTATTTTTCTTCTAAGGTTTATGAAAAGAAAACAAAGCATATTAATGACCAAAAAAGGCAACTAAGAGGACATCAATAAGGGGTTTCTCCATTTGAACATTTAAACTAAAATGGCAGAAATAAAATAATACTCACACTGCTTGTGGCTCCTTAAATTTTCCTACTTGCTGAATGTGGTACATGAGATCTCCACCATTGACATATTCCATGACAAAATAAAGACGATCCTAAAAATCAAGCATTAACCAAAAGGAGGAATAGGGGGAAAAAAGATTCTGTATGAAACTACATCTATTACAGTTTTTAAAGTGTTGATCAAATTTATTAAGACAGGAACAAAACTACCCTATTTGCCCTTCTGTGCTTCCTTCTGCTCTCTTTGGTATAATTTTAGAAATGTTTTGGGGGCAGCTAAGTGGCACAGTGGATAGAGCACTGGCCCTGAAGTCAGAAGGACCTGAGTTCAAATCTGGCCTCAGACACATAACACTTAATAGCTATGTGACCCTGGGCAAGTCATTTAACCCCAATTGCCTCACCAAAAAAATGTTTCATTGGTATGCCTTCCTTTTCTTCTTCTGTTTTTGCTCTGCTATCACTGCACATCAAATCTCTCTTCCATCTCATACTCCCCCCTTACAGCAAATAAACAGTTTAGCAAAACAAATCAACACACTGATTGTGTCTGAAAATTCGTGACTTTTTCTATGTTCTAGTCCATTACCTCTCTGCCATAAAGTGGGTAGCATGTTTCATCTAAGTCCGCTAGAGTCATGATTGGTCATTATACTGACCAGTTCGTAAGTCTTTCAGAGTTCTTTTACTTTACATTATTGTACTCAATGTATAAATAGTTCCCCTGGTTCTGCTTACTTTACAATGCACGCCTTTTCAGATTTCTCTCAATCCATTCCTTTCATAATTTCTATGACTCAACAATAATCTATTAAATTCTCATGTCATAATTTGTTTATAAATTCCCGTTTGATGGGAAACCACTTTATTTCTCAAAGGGTTGCATAATTTCGTCACCTTTGGGGTCTAATTCCAAACTGTTTTCCAGAATGGGTGAAATTCACATAGCACCAGTCTTTCCACTACCCCTCCAAAAACTATCATTTTTCTTTTGGTCATGTGTGCCAATCTGACCAATCAACTAACAAGTATTTAGGTACCTATTACATCAAGCAATGAGAGCTGTAAGGTAGAAGAACAGTTATTTTAATTTAATTTTCTCTTACTATTAGTGATGTGGAGCAAATTTCCATATAGTTGAGGATAGCTTGTGTTTTTTCTTTTAAAATCTGCCTGCTCATATCCTTGGACAGTTTATGATTATATTCTTACATATTTATATCAATTCCCTATACATATGGATATCAAATGTTTATCAGATATATCGGTTGCAAAGATTTTTTCCCAGCTAACTTGTATTTCTCTTCTAACTGCATTGATTCTTTTTCTCTCTCTCTTAATTTACAAAAAAAAAAAAAAGGAGTTGGGGAAATAAAGGAATGGGGTCAACACTAGGAATCTATAACTGAAGTGATCTCATCCCACTCCTCTCAGACCATAATCACTAGTTCTCACCCTCTTCCTATCCTTTCAAGTTTGCACTTTGATCAGTCAATCAAGCCAATAATCATTTATTAAGCACCTATTATGGATCCTTCAGTATGGATGACTTTAGTCAATCAGTCAAGCATTTAATAGGTACTTTCTTTGTGCCAGGCACTGTGATAAGCACTGAATAATAATAGCATTTATATAGTTCTTTAAGGATTGCAAAGTGCTTTCCACATAAAAAGACCATCATGAAAATAATTGCAGCTTATATGGCAATTTATGGTAAAGAGAAAAATGAGGTAGAGATATTCATGAATAAAGTGACAAGACCATACAAATTAAATCTGTTTACATTTTAGTAATAGTTTATTTCATTGAAAATGTGTCCATAAGGAAGGATGGATAAAGATATATTGAAATATATCTTTCAAGAGTAGGAAATACAAGATCACATAAAGAATATGCAGAAAATTCACAGCAATGTATCATGAATATCTTTTTTATCTGAGAAGAGAGTTGGAAGTGGTAAATATGGCATGTATCAAATGACATCACAAAAATGAAATCAATTTGAACAGAAAATGAATATGTATTAATGTGGGAGTAACATAAAATCTACTATATGTACAATCAGACTTGTAATAGTAAAAATCAAAGCAGTAAAAAATTTTAATAAAAATTAAAGCATTAACCAATGCTTTCGTCACCTTTGGGGTCTCATTCCAAACTATTTTCCAGAATGGGTGAACCCTGTGAAGTAGATTGTCACCACCATTTTATAGATATTGAAGAAACTGAGGCTTGTGGGGCTAAAAAAACTTGTCCAGCATCACACAGCTGTGCAAGGCAAGATTGAAACTCTTATCCTCTGGACCACAAAGCTGAGCTCTTTCTTTCTGGTTATTTGCAGTATTTTTTCTTTGTCCTTGGAAGCTCTGGATTTTTGACTGACATGTCAGGTTGTTTTCAATTTGAAGTTTCTTTCAAGAAGTTACTAATGGATTCTTTCTAGTTTTGATTTTGCCCTCTGGCTCTAAAAGATCTAGATAGGTTTTTTTTTTGTTTGTTTTGTTTTGTTTTTTGTTTGTTTGTTTTTTTTTTTTGTGATTCCTTGAAATATAGTATCCAGACATGCTTGTTGGTCATGGTTTTCAAGAAGTCTAGTGATTTTGAAATTACCTCTCATTGACCTGTTTTCTAGGTCAGTTGTTTCTGAGAGTAAGTATCTCAAATAGCCTTCTTAATTTTTCCACTATTTTAGTTTTAAACATTTTTGTTTACTCTCTGAGTTTTGTTTGTTTTCTTTTGTTGTATTTTTCATGGAGTCCACTAATCAAATTATATTTTCCACCTTTTATTCTAAACCATTTATTCTTTCCATTTTTTTCCTTACGAGCTCTAACTTATTTATTTTTAATGAGCTTCTTCCTTCTACTCTGGTAGTGTTGCCAAACCATGGTGCAGTGGATAGAGTGCTAGACAAAAAGTCATGGAGATCTGAGTTCAAATCTTGTTTCAGGTACTTATGAGTTGTGTGACCCCAAACAAGTCACTTGATTTCTGTATGCTTCATTTTTCTTATTTGTAAAATGGGCATAATAATAGCACCTATCTCCTAGAGTTGTTGAGAAAATCAAATGAAATAAAAAATGTAAAGCACTTTGCAAACCTAATAGCTATATAAATGTTAGCTGTTATTTTTTACCCTGAGGCTTTGCTTATACTTATTGTAGAATTACTGACTTCTAAATTTGTCTTTTGGGGCTTCTTTTTAACTATAATATTTCTCTATTGAGCTTAGAATTTTCTTCTGTTTACTCATACTTCCAGCAATGATTCCTGTATTGAGTCCTTATGCCAGGACCAGTCTCTGACCCTTCTTGTACTCTTGGGTGGAGTGGACAGGCCCTGCCTGGTTTTGTCCATGCTGTCGTCTAGCTACTGTCATCACTATCTTGCTGCAGTTCTGGATGAAATGGCTAGTTCCCAATAATGCTCGCAACTTTTTCTGCAGCCCTAGGCTTGGAAAGAGAGTTGGGTTCTATCTGGGAAAAGATCCAGCCCTCTGCCACAATCCCTGGTTTCTGTCTTTGTCTCCTAGCGGCCCAAAACAGATGCTGGCCTTGGCCACATCTCTGTCTCCTCCTTGCACAATCACCAACAAGGAGTTGGATTTGTTTCCTGCTAAAGCCTTCACTAGATTCAACTTGTTATCAGAGATTACACTGGTTTTTTGTCTCCTCTAGGGCCCTGGTGTGCCTCTGCCTTATCCCTATCACCTGGATCCCTTGGTACAGACATTGAATACTGGAGATCACACTAATTATAGGATTCTTAGACCTCCCCTACTCTGGGAACTGTGCCTACCTCTATTCCCTGGGTGGACCCCAATTTTATTTATCTCCTGTGGTGGTTCTGACAAGATATTAGAGATCTTACTGGCTTCAGGCCTCTTTGAGGGCCCCAGGCAGCCACCTCATTCTCCTTGCACTGCAACCTGCTAGAATCTATCTTTATCCCTTTCTTCAGTTCCCACAGGCTAGGGCCAAGACTGTGTTGGCATCAAGCCCCCTTGGCATCCCTCCCTCCCCCACCAGAGCACACATAGGTTTCTGGTCATTATCACATACAGTGAAAAGTATACAGTGAAAAGAGAGCACCTGGTGCTTTGCTAGAGGATTTGAGTTCAGTTTTACCAGAAGTCTCCTGCATTTTTCAGATGAGGAAGTTGAGGCACAGAGGAACTATAAAAGATGAGTCCCATGATACAATGATGGTTTACTTTATTTTTTTCATCTATACAGACATAAATTATTAACCTCAAAGGTCTGATGATTCTATTTCTTTGTTGACCTATAATACTGGGTATTAATTTGTTTTGACTAACACTCCGGGATAGCATATGAGGGTTTACAGGAAGGTTTTCAATGCCTGAGAGGCATCTAGTCACTGGTGCACTAAACTCTATTCTTTCTTTTATGCCACCAATACTTACAAAAGGCTCCACAGAACCAGTCACAGATGTCTGAATAATTATCAGCACATTGCACAGGATGGTGGGGGAAGTTAGTGGTGGGCAAGGCAAATTAGGTGGTTTTGTAGTAGATTAGCTAAAAAACAAATCCTTTAGAGGTAGAAGCTGAACACAATCCTCTCCTTTACAACACAACCACTTCACTGAAGTTCTTCATCATTAAAGTGTTGCACAGTGGGTACAGGGCTGGGAGGAAGGCAAGGATGATGGCATCAAGCTAATTGCCAGGAAGCGGCCTTCAGGACATCATATTCAACTTGTTTTTTATGTACTTTAATTTTCTGTTCCTTTCTGTGCTTTATGTATTCTTTCCTTAGCTTAATGAGTATAACAAGATTTATGTGATTTCTTCAGGGATGTGGAGATGAAGAGCACAGGGGTCTTTTCCTCAAACATAGACAGGTTCCATTCCCCCTGCTGTTCCCATCTAACACACATTGTGCAAATACTTCCCTTGTAGAAATGAGAATAGCAATGATGGATGACAAAGGCAAGTACTATACTGAAACAAGGATTAGAGAAACATGGCTTACAGGCAAGATAAGACTGACACACAGTGGCTGGAGAATGGTGAATATAATTTTTCATTTCAACCTCAGGCTCTATTACAATCTGGCTATGCTTCTCTCTTAGGATTTTGAAATTAAAAGCAGAGGACGACTGGTAAAGCTTGCTAGACTCATGAACACAGCATGCTTTCTCATTTCTGAACACAAACTGGTAAAGCGTAGCTTGCCGTATCTCAAATAGAGTTACAAATTCACGAGAAAATGGAAATGACTTGCTTGGGAACTCAACTAGGACACTTACAAATTGCTAGCATTTCTATGAGATGACTTGTAGACTGGTGGAATGGGGAAGTTCCTGTGCTGCTGGTTCTTGTCACTGGTTACTGCTATAAAGGACAGTAATGCCCTCTATTTGGTTACACTGTAACAGGGGTGGGGAACCTGTGGCCTCAAGGCCACATGTGGCGCTCCAGGTCCTCAAGTATGACTCTTTGACTGAATCCAAACCTCGAGGCTGCAGGTTCCTCACCCATGCACTATAAGTACACAACAAGGATGTGCACAGCATTCTGCATTCTCCCAATTCTCTGGTACTCAGGAAAGGAATTTCCCATAGTACATAGCAACCATTTACGGTGTTAAAGCCCTATATTGAGTACATGTGCCACATTATATTTTTGCCACAGTGGAGAGCACTTCATAAAATACCATAACCTGAAGGTATGCCTTTAGTTTCCAAGTTTTTTCCTTGTTTGTTTGTTTTATGGCAAACTAGGGACAAAGAGCCCAGAGGACTCAGAAGTTGAATTAAATAGCTATTGTCTTAATGTACCAAATCAGAGAGATATTTGAGAAAGCATACAAAGTTAAGTAAAGAAGACTTACCACTGTCTGGAAGCAGGAGTGCAGTTGTGTTAAGAAAGGAGGTTTGTCTAGGAGAGCTAGTACTCTCTTTTCTACCATCGTGCATTCAACATCATCATCTTGTATCACCACATCTTTTTTCAAAATTTTGATCGCATATAGTTCTTCTGTTCCCTTTCGGTCAGCCAACATCACCTAAACAAGGAAAATGAATAACTTGGACATCTCTGCTGGAAAAGAACTGTGACTTTTAAGAGGTTCAAACTGCAACAGAGCAGTGGATTTGACTTACATTTTTACAGTTGGTCTAAAGCTAAGAACAAGTCCATTCGCCAATTACACTACACTTCTATTGCTATATAAACGATAGCATTCTAAAGTATCTGGTCCTTTGAGACAACATCAGTGTAACTGAGGTGGGAAGGTTGGAATGGTGGAATGGTATATATTACTATGGTCTTCTAGAGGACCTTCAACCACTTAAATGGATTTAAGGGACATTATTAGAAATGATGGATGGCAAAGATTTGAGATTCAAGAAGCCTAGCATGGGCAAAGCTAGGAAAGAAACTATAATATAAATACAGCTAAAAAAAGACAATAAGCACTGTAATGGTCCAATAAGGAATGACCAAACATGAAAGGAATGCCAGGCCTCATCCCTGGAAGGACTAAACAATCTGTCCATGTGGGTAGACAATATCAAATCTGTGAAGTTCACAGTTGGTGTCCTGGTGTGGTGAGGCAGTGACAACCAGGAACACACCAGGAGCATTAGGGCTATAGAAAAAGTAATGATACCTCTTAGGTTAGTTTTTTTTCTTTTCGAGTGCTGACCATGCTAAAGTTTTTTGCATTCTACTAAATTAGGGCTGCCCAATACTATCCATTTAAGGGGTGGAAAATCCTCTAGAAGACCTTTAAGACCTTGTAACTAGGAGGTGAGAGTGTAGTAGAAGGAATGTCTATCAGAGTCCTTCACAATAGGGACACAGTAACTTTTTTCATTAAAAGCATTCTTGAGAATTAACTGGCTCCAGGGATGAAAGCTCTTGCAATTGATGCAGTTTCCTGGTCACCTTAGAATAAGAAGGAATGAAAAGGCCCTGAGACTTCAGACCAGCATCATAATTAATATTGAGAAGTTATACTTAGCTGAATCAACTGTTACTTGCTTAAAATTTACTGAAGTTCTAAAAGTTCTGTTGAGGATGCTACAATCTAGCTTTCATCCTCAACTTCTACTCTCTGTCATCCCCACAGCCAACCTGTTGCCAAGTCCTGTCATTTCTATCTTCATAACATCTCTTAATTCTACCTTTATAATATCCCTCCAATATGTTCCCTTGTCTCCTCTGATACTTTCACTCCAGTACGGGCCCCTCTGCACCTTATGTCCAGACCATTGAAATAGCCTACAGATTGGCCTTCCTATCTCAAATCTCTTCCCACTCTAGTTCATGCCCACTCAGCCATCCAAGTGATTTTCCTAATGTATAGGTTTGACCATGTCACTCCCCCTATTCAATAAACTTCAGTAACTCCCTGCCTCAGGATCTTCAGGATTAAATATAAATTTCTCTGTTTAGCTTTTAAAGCTTGTTACACCACGGCCCTTCTTGATCACTGCAACTTTCTTACATTTTCCTTTCCTTTAAGTACTCTACAATCAGTGACACCGGCCTCCTTGTCATTGTTTATTCACAGAATTACATTTTCTGACTTCTTGCATTTCCCCAGGTTGTCCATTATGTATAAAATGCTCACTCCTCATCTCTGCCTCTTGACTCACCAGGTTTGCTTCAAGTCTCAGCTAAAATTCTACTTTCTGCAGGAAGCTTTTCTCAGTTCTCCTTAATGCTAGTGCCTTCCCTCTGATATGAACTTCAATTTATACTGTACATATCTTGTTTGTACAAAGTGGTTTGCATGTTGCATGCATGTTTGCATGTTCTACTTTCCTCTGTATCCACAGTTCCTGGTACCCAGTAAGGGCTTAATAAATGCTTGTTGACTGGACAAAAAATTATTTTGATAAAGTCTTATTTTTAGGGGCAGCTAGATGGTACAATAAACACAGTGCTGGAACTGGAGTTAGGAAGACTTGTGTCCAAATCAAACTTCAGATACTTACTAGCTGTGGGACTCTGGGCAAGTCTGCCTTAGTTTGCCCATCTGAACAATTGAGATAATAATAGCACCTACTTCCCAGGGTTGTTAGGAGGATGAAATGAGACATTTATAAAGTGCTTTTCAAGCCTTAAAAGGTGATATAAGCAACAACTATTATTATTATTATCATAATTACGTATATAATTATATAATTATGATAATTACATAATATGTAACAATATATTATGTTAGTGTGTAATAATTATACAATAATAGTTGTTGTGATGATTATTAGCATGATTATTATTGTGATAGCAATTGCCATGTTGTGTTCTACTGACACTAGGCTGACCCTGATGAAACCAGATAAAGGTTTCTCAACCTTTAGTTTTCAGTCAGTACTTAAGTGTTGGATTTTGGGCTACAAAGAAATGAGCATTTTATTGCTATCTTTTGATTTTGTTTTGTTTTTGTTTTTTTTTGGCTAGGTAATGGGGTTAAGTGACTTGACCAGGGTCACACAGTTAGTAAGTGTTATGTGTCTGAGATCAGATTTGAACTCAGGTCCTCCTGAATCCAGGGCCGGTGCTCTATCCACTGTGCCACCTAGCTGCCTCTATCTTGATGTTTTTAAAAATTGTTATTACACCAAGGAAATGTTTAAAATTTTTAACTTTTTTTTTTTTTTTTGCTTTTTGGTGAGGTAATTGGGGTTAAATGACTTGTCCAGGGTCACACAATCAGTAAGTGTTAAGTGTCTGAGGCTGGATTTGAACTCAGGTCCTCCTGACTCCAAGGCCAGAGCTCTATTCACTGGGCCAACTAGCTGCCCCCCCCCCAAATTTTTAACTCTTAAAGAACACTCGTCAATGACAGCTAGAGATACTGTAGCAGCTGTTAGAGTGGGGAAGTGTTCCGAGACTCCTTCAAGCCCACGATAAACTAGGTTCAGTCACACAAAAAATGAAGTGAGATCAAAAATTAAAATTAATGTCAAGAGGTGACAAATCACTGCTAATTAATACTCAAAATAAGCAAAGATTTTTAAATCTGGGAATTGGAGAGGTAATTATTTATTCCTCTACAATATTATTTAGGCATCTTAAAGTTGGAAGAACAGTGAGACTAGTAAAAAAAAGATTATATTAACCATTGCTATGAAGAGAAGTTGTTTGTCGTGGGTAGGATAAGAACAAAATGTAACTTTTACTGATGAAACCCACTTTTCCATTCAAGAATATACCAAAACAGTTGTTAGAAGTCTAAGTAAGCATGTAAGATCTGAACATCTCATCAGACTGTAAAAAATCCCCTCCAAAATAACTATCTTGGACATGTTTGACTTCCTAGAAATCTTATTGCCATTTAAGGAAATCTCTGATAAATATGTTGATATGTGGAGAAGCAGAATTTTTCTGGAATTATAGAGATTCCCAAATGGAGATGGAATACTGATAACTGGATCACAGATATGGAATTAGAAGGGACAATCATCTAATCCAACGCCTACTTTTTATAGATAGGACACTGATGCTCAAGTAATCCCTATCATCTTCAAGATCAAATATAAAATCCTATTTGGCTTTTTTCTCTAACCTGACACTTTCATATCTTTCCAGTGTTCTTACGCCTTACTCCCTTCTATGTCCTCTACAATTCAATGATACTATCTTCCTTTTTGTTCCTCATACACAACGTTACATTTCCAAACCCTATGCATTTACACTGACTGTCCACTATACTTGGAATGCTCTCCTTGTCTCTGCTTCCTGACCTCTCAGGCTTCCTTCGAGTCTCAGCTAAAATACTACTTTCTGTAAGCAGCCTTTCTCAGTCAAATGACTTATACTGCGTCACACAACTAGGAAGTAGTGGTGGGATTTAAATTTAGGGTTTCCTAACTCCAAGTTCAGTGCCCTCTCTCTCCTAAGCCACACTGCTGTGGATTAGAGAGAGTAGGGAATCAAGGAATAATCCAAGGTTGCAAAACTGGGTAACTGGAAGGATGGCAACGTTATCAGCAGAAAGAGAAAAGTTCGAAATAAGAGTGGGTATTGGGGAAAATATAATGTATACAGTTTTATACATGCTGAGTATGAGATGCCTATCAGATATTGAGTTCAAACTATTGAATAGCAGTTGGAAATGTATGGCTTTGGCTAAGAAGGATGACTAGGGCTAGATATACAGTCTTGGGAGTCATCTACATAGAAGCGATCTTTAAACCTGTGGAAACTGATGAGGCTGTCGAGTGAGAGTGCAGAGAAGCCATAACATTTACAAACCTAAGGAATGAATCCTTTTCCAATGGAACATTGCAACTTGGACCTCAGAGAATCAGAGCTCTCTCCTTAACTCTTTGCTATAGTTACTTGATAACCCACTAGTTACAGCAGGTTTTTACTCTGAGTTGCTCTCACACATGGAATTTATCCATAAATTGGGGACTTTTCGAATGCATCTTCCATAAAAGGATAATTTTTTTAACTTCTGACTCATTATTCATGAGAGGCAACAAATAGAAAACTCTGATTGAAGACATCTTAACAATTTTATTACAAATAGATTTTTTTTTTACTGTTAAAATTGCTTGAAAGTGATAGAAAATGAAACTGAATTACACAGTTATTCGGTAATGTTCTTAAGTAATGAAATTAGGTAATAGTCAGGATACTAGGGAAAATGGAGTGGCTTTAGCCTTGTATATTCTTTTCTGTGCTATAACCTTGTACATCCTTCTCCATCTTGAAAGAATACTTTTCTGCTTTGAGGAGAATGGGAGAAAGATGCTTAATCATTTTTTTCTTCCTATTCTCATTTGTATGTAGCATTAGAAGTATACAGACTACTTACCTTTCCAAAACTACCCTTCCCCAGGACCATGAGAAAATTAAAGTCTGTGAGTTTGACTCTGTCAAGGTTGTTGGATGGTACATTGGATTTTCTGTCATCTGATGGACTGATCACCTTGTTACCAGCAGGGCCAAGCTTGGCTTTCTAAACAAAAATCAAACATAAGAAAATTAATCCTATTTCTAGTAAAAAAAAAAATACTGTAAGTAAGGTTGACCGCTTTGAAGAGAGGAAAGATGGTCACAGGCAGAGGAATTGATTCAAATGCCAATGGATATATTCACCTACAATGGCATTCTTCTTATATAAGGATATATAAAAAGTTCTACTTTCCAATCAGACAATTACACAAATATTTTTCTCTTTAAGCACTTAAACAACAAAAACAATCCATCACAGAATTATCCTGCTAAGTACAGGCCACTCTTGTTCTTAACCCAAAGAAGTTTCTTCTTAGGAAAAAAAAAATCATGCTCTTGGGCTCTTATCAGGTTAAAAGGGGAAAGTGAAGGTCCTAGATTTGTGATTTCATTGGTATAGAGGTCTCCTGAATAAGGAAACTCTTTTAACCAATACAGATCAACTTTTTCTTGGAGAGTTGCCTCCAATATGGAGAAATTTAGTGACTTGCCCAGGGTCATTTAGCCATTTTATGTCAGACAAGGGAGAAGGACAGAGACTTTAACTCAGGTTTTCTTGGTTTCCAGTCTGGCTCTCTAACCATGGGGCCATGTTCCCTTTTATGATTAAGGAAATAGAAAAGCAGACTGAAATTCTTCTTATTGACATATTTTTATATTTGAAGTTCAATCTGCATAAAGAGCATTCTGCCAGTTTATATATATATCACTGTATATAAGTATATACATACATAGATACATATATAAATATATGTTAAAGACTGAACTCAAGCAAATTATAATTCTAGAATTGAATTCAAGAATTTTATTGGTTCTGCATAATGTAAGAAGAACCTTATGAGATTAAAAAGTACCTAAATTCTGAAACACAAACTTCTGGAATTATAGAGATTCCCGAATAGAGATGGGATTTAAGTTTTAAGAAAGCAAGAACAAGATAGATCCTAGAGAAACCAATCTCTTGATTCTTTCGCTTGCTAAAACAGATAAATCAGGATCATTATATCTGTTCTGCTCCATTCCAAAGACAAAGACAAAATGTAACAGGGTATCACTGTTGGAGGCAAGATAAGTCATACATGAGCTAAGACTAAGATCTCATAACCACTACAAACTAGGGAGGCCTGATATAGGGGGATGAATACTCCACAAAGGGTCCCTGAAGCTCTGGGGAGCCAAGGTAATTGAATCATCACGGACACAATTAAAGAGGTGGGAACTAGCTCAAAAATCCTGCACTCTCAGGTAAAGAAGTAGATTGGATGTGCAAATAGCTGCCAGATTCATGAACCTAGAAAAATTATTCCTGAGATGGTCACAAAGAGACTAAGAAGTGTTAGAAACCTCCAGTAGAAACTTCCAATTGCACTGTGTGCTCCTTTGTTGTTGTTCAGTCATATCTGACTCTTCGTGACCCTATTGAGGTTTTCTTAGCAGAAATGCTGGAGTGGTTCACCATTGCCTTCTCCAGTTCATTTTACAGATGAGGAACTGAGGCAAACAGGGTTAAGTGACTTGCCTAGGGTCACACAACTAGTGTCTGAAGCCAGAGTTGAACTCAAGAAGGTAAGTTTTCTTCATCCCAGGCCTAGCACTCTATCCACTATGCCACCTGGCTGCTCCTAAGGTTTCTTATACATTGTCAACACGCTTCCAAGATTATGGTTCAAATTGGCTCTTGCCAAGACTTAACACAGTGTCATGTTAGGGATGTCAGTGACTTAGTGGGCATGAAAATTTTTTTTAGGTTTATGAGATGAAGACATTTAAACCGTAATTCTTTATGTAGTCAAAGACACTTATTTTTCCTTAGCTCTTTGAGGAGAGCATTGTAAAAATATCAAAAACTGGTGATTTCACAGGTTTGAGAACTTTCTCCACCAATGCAGGTAGTAATCCTTTTATAGCCTATTTAGTTATCTGAGGATTAGAGAATTTAAGTGACACCAACAGCCACAAAGCTAGTGTCAGAGGTGAGATTTGAACCCATGTTTTCCCAAGTCCAACTCTAGCATTCCATTCACTATGCTGAGTTGTGAACAAGAGCATGCAATTTGGACACCTCCCCCCACCAACTCCAACCCCCAATAATGGGGTTACATTAAACTATTCAAACTCTATTGCCTGATTCCCTTTATCAATCAATCAATCAATCAATCAACAAGCAATTATTAAACACTTTTCATGTCTCAAGTGTTGTGCAAAGCACTGGGTATTCAAAGAAAAATCAATTCCAAACTTCAAGGAGCTTACATTCTAATGGAGACACACATATATTGTGTGTGTGTGTGCGTGTGTGTGTGTATATATATATATATATATGTATATATATGTGTGTATATATATATATGTCTACATAAATATAGAGTAGATGGAAGATAACTGGCATATGAGGGGACTTGGAAAATCTCTTAGAGGAGGTGGTGCTAAAATTTGGTCTTAAAAGAAACCAGAAAAATTAATATTTGAGGGTTGGAAGAAAGAGCATCCCAGGAATGGGGAAAAGCCACTGCAAAAGCGTAATCCTGGGAGATGGAGTGTCATATGTGAGCAACAGCACATAGGATAGTAGATCAGAGAGTGCGCAGGGAGGGATAAAGTATAAGAAGAGTGTAAAGGTAGGAGGAGGTCAGGTGAGAGTCTTAAGTGACAAATAAATGACTTTCTATTTGATCTTAGAGGTAATAAGAAGCCACTGGAATTTAATGAATAGTGGAAGTGATATGGTCACTCCTATACTTTAGAAAAATCACTTTGGTAGCTGAATCAATAATGGATCAAAAATGGGGAAACACTTAAGATAGGGACACCAATTAGAAATCTGTGGCCCAGGTGAGAGGGAAGATGCCTTTACAAGGACAGTGGTTGTGTACGTGAAGACAGGGAGATGTAGAGGGAAAATGCAATGAAATGCTAGGAGGGTAGAAGAAAAATGATTTAACAAAAAAATTGGACATATGGTATGAGTGAGTGTGAAGTGTTAAAGGTGAGCCTGAGGTTATTGAGCAGCTCCCATGAGGAGGAAAGAAAGATCCAAGAGGCAATGCAGGAGCACCATGGTTAGCACAATGGCAAAGCAGGCACAGGTACGGTATACAGCCATGGAACAGAGGTTTTCTCTGTGAAAAGCTAATTGTCTTATATGTGGATCATACATGTATACTTGATCTCATTAGTACTATGCGCTAAGAAGGAAGTAAGTTAACTAGTCCAGATAAGAAGACATTTATGTCTGCTGGGGAAAGTGGAGCCCTACTGTGCAGCCTTTTTCAATTGCTCTTAATAGCTGACATTTACGTATCACTCAATGCTGGCATTGAGTTGTGAAACTTTGGGACTCAGTGCTCTATATCGTTTTAATTTTTAAGGAAACAGGAATCAAAATTCTCCTGCCTACTTTTGCCATGCACTCGATGACCAAGAACAATAGAATACTTATCTTGTTTCCTATTAAGGGTTTGACCCTTGCAGCCATCATTGAAGGAAACAACCCTTCTTGAGAGCTGGCCATGTTATCCATGCTATCGTCAATACTAGCAACAAACCAACTGCCCCTAACAGACAAGTAAGATGAAGAGTGCTTGAATCAGAAGCATTCCCCAAAACACTACTTCTAGCTTGACCCAAGCAGCCAGAGTCTACCAAAGTCACACTTGTGGAGATCTGTATATGCTGTAGGTCCCACTCCTCCATTATGTTGTAAGGTCCTGGAAGACAATGATTATCTTTCTTTTTTGTATTTGTATCCACAGCGCTTAGCACAGTGCCTGGCAGATAGCAAGGGCTTAACATATGTTTATTGGGTAACTGATTGATTGATCTGTTCAGCAACTGAAAACCTAGAAAAGCAAGTTTTTGCTGTTAAAGTCCTCAGTATTGATCAATCATCAAATAGTTGAATATCGGCTATGGAACAGAAGACGGAAGGTAACTGACAGATGGGGAAGACTAGAAAAGGTATGATGGAAATAACATTAAAGAACATGCATTACCATCTGCTTTGAAAATACATATTAAGGACCTGGGCCTTTCCATCTGACTTGTAGCTGAAATCTCTTATAAGTATTGTCTTCTCCTATTGGAAAGTGAGCTGCTCAAAAGCAGGAAATACCCAGCTTTTATATTTGTATGTCCAGAGTTCAGTTCCTTTGCACACAGTAAGCACTTAATAAATGTAATTTCATTCATTCATTCACTCATTCATTCTGAAATTAGGTTTCAAAATCTATTGTCTCACATCTAGGTGTGTTCAGTTATTTAACCAACAAAAGTGTTGAAGCCTGATGACAATTCATTCCACAAGTATTTATTAAGTGGTACCTATGTAGTGTGGTGAATAGAGCTCTGTAGCTAAAGTCAGTAAGACCTGAATTCAAATCTGACCTCATACTTACTAGCTGTGTGACCCTGGACAACTCACTTAACTTCTGTCTGCTTCAGTTTTATCAATTGTAAAATAGAGATAATAATAATAATAATAATAATAACACATACCTCCCAGGGTTGTTGTGAGGGTCAAATGGGATATTTGTAAAGTGCTTAGCACAGTGCCTGGCACACAGCAGGTACCTAATATAAAATGTTTTTTCCTTCCTTCCTTCCTTCCTTCCTTTCTTCCTTCCTTCCTTCCTTCCTTCCTTCCTTCCTTCCTTCCTTCCTT